CGAGGCCGCTGGGCGCGCCGCGAGCGCGCGAGCGTGGGGCTGCGTCCCTTGTACACTTAGCCATATTTTGCTCATTTTCGCCCGGTTTTCAACCCGATTTCACCCGAAGCTAGTTCACACCTCCCGGAACCTTCTCGTTAAAAATTTTTGGCCCGGCACTAACAGGTCGGTACTGCCGAGCGGGTCGGCACGGGCACTTTTCAATAATTTCCATACTTGGCTCAAATTTTCAACACCTCACCAAATTTTCAATCAAATCTCGACCTCGAAACCCGTTTTCTCCCTCAAAAATCACGTGTGTCGTGCGGCTCGTGGAGCTATTTATTCCCGAACTAAAAAGAAGAAGCGGAAAACACTAAAACCGTGGGTTGCCTCCCACGAAGCGCTCATTTTACGTCTTGAGCTTGACGTCCCCAACAAAAATCAACCGGGGTCCAAGAAAAAGTGTCGATCATGCCACGCCTTTGTATTTTCCAAGAGAAGACGATTCGGTAGCACCGAACAAAGGCGGGCAACGTAAGCTCTCGTGGCCGCATTCTTGTGAAACCGAGCACGGATTTCGACAACCAACAAGAGAAGAGATAGATCTTTACGCATCACGGCCCCATACTCGACCTCCGAAAATATAAAAATATTCGTGGAGCACGTCGAATCGATCCCGGGCATCTTTTGCACTATCTCGAACGTGTACTCATCAAGCTCAAGCATCGGGAGCACGGGCGTAGGCACACTAAACTCTTCCAAATGATCACGATCCTCAATAATACGAAACGACGCCCCAAAGGACATGGGAACCACCTTATCCTCAACATCCCAAGGCATATCATCCACACACGCCACATCCGGCTCAACAACATCTAAATGCTCGGATTCTTTCTCACTACCATCATCATCCTCCTCCACATCATCACCAACACCTTCATTACCCCTCGGCTCACTCAAACCCTCAATTAAATTATCTCTCAATCCATCCTCAACATCAACTTCCGAATCCATACTCTCCTCCTCAATAATCGAATCAAAACCCGAAACACCATCAACGGAAGAAGATTTTGGCGTACCTCGTGTAGAATCCAAGTCCACGCCATCACAAGGAGGAAGTTCTTCGACAATAAGCTCATCGATGTCCTCACTAGTGTCTAAAGGTTGAGTCTCATCATACACGGGAGTGAGGCCCTTCTCTTTCAAGGAAACAAAACGATCCACCATGCCTCGAAATTCGCTCTCTAATCGAGTGCTCTCTCGAATAAGCTTCGCCGATAGAGTAGAATATCTACCGAGCGGAATGGAAGATGAATCCAAGTCGAGGAAAGACACCACGGTGGAGTCGAACTTCTCAAGTGTAGCGCGGAGAACGGATGGAATCGGGATGCACCTCCAACTATTAAACTCCTCGATGATCGACGCGAGTCTCGCGAGTGCGTCTTGAGTTCTCGCCAAAACTTCTTGGTGACGATCGATCGACCCAACCTCGGAATGAAATGAAGCTCCAAGACTAGATGAACGAGGTTGGCCAACCGATGGGTGCTCAAATACCGGAGAGGGAGAAGTGAAGGACTCGGTTTCTTCTTTTTCGGGTAGGGAGGCCAATGAAGCACGAAGTGATTGAGTGTCCTCCTCCAACTTTGCCATGATCTTTGCTAATTCGGTTGGAGGGGCCCGAGTCGGCTCGGGTGGAGGCATAACATCATAAGAACCGGGAGGTGGAAGATAGTAGAGAGGCGTCTCGTCATAAGCCGAATAGTGATCATAATAATCACATTGGGGTGTGGAATAAGGGTGGCTCGGGCCAAATGAGTTCATCTTCCCTTGAGAATTGTCGGGGTATCCACGAAATGAGCTCCCGGCATAATAGTGAGAATAAGTATCCATCCGGGCTCCTCAAGCGTAATACCTCGCACAAGAACAAGAAAAACAACCCAAGGCACACGAGGCAAGAGAGAGAATAAAAAAAAGTGGAACTAAAAACACATAATATTTACACGGGCACGAAAGCAAAAGAAAGAGAAATGGAAATAAGCAAATAACCAAGAGAAACACGCAAAAACGAGCAAAATAGCACAAAACGGAAGAGAAACACGGAAACAAACGACAACTAAATAGCAAACTTGGCGTCCTACTCGCCTTCCCCGGCAACGGCGCCATTTTGTTTAGTATAAATTTGGGCATGTGGTAACCGAGTTACCCGACTCGGGTCGTTCTCAAAGGAAGGCTCTTCGGAGCTTCGTTCACTATCTAGTCGTCAAAGTCACACAATCGAAAACAAGGTCCTAAACATGCTACTCGCTTGATTGGGGGATGATTGCACGCACTTGAACTACGAATCTAAGGGCGGATGATGGAAAATGCAAATATAGAGAAAAAGATCGAAACTTTGGTCTACCGGAATCCCCATGACTCAAGAAAAAGAAAAATAACAAGAGAAATCATGCAAGCATAGCGATCCTAGGTCTTCTAACACGAGCTTTCTACATTAGATCATTACGCTTTGAGCAAAGTCGAAATCTTTCTAGATAAGCACATATCGAATCCTAACACACCAAAGCAAGCAATGAAAATAGAGCGAAAACCTAGAATCAAGCATCAACAAAAAATCGAAAAACAAGCTCGAAGTAATTAGCCCTAAGCAAGGTACTCACCCTCCTATCGCATGCGTAGACAAAAATAGTGCGTAAAACTCGAATCTTGATCGAAAATAAAGTTGCCGGAATTTTACCGGAAAAATCGAGTCATGAGTCTCCAACCAAAGCATAAAAAAATAAAAGAGAGAAAATGGAGAGGATTTCCCAACTTAAAAGTTGGGAAAAT